ACAGAATGTAAAAAAACAAAAATGCAATATTATAGACGTATAATATATACATAAATACATACAAGTGCTCGAAGAAAAAAAAGAAACAAAAAGTTCAACCAGCAGGTCAGCCACTCCTATACTCAGTACTTGAAGAAAAAAATCCTCAGATCTCTAAAGGCAGGCATGAGTTGGAGTATCCTCCTTCAAAAGACAGGAAGATTTGACAAAGTGTATTTACTACCTTTAATTTATTCCTTTAATTTCCACACCTGACAGCCTAAATCTGGTTGACTTAACCTAACCAATGTTCAGGAGACAAAATCTTATAAAAACAAGTACGGAGAAAGAAGTGGTTGCTACAGCTAAATAGGTTCAGGGATAAAAGCAGGGGTGAAATTTACTTACCTTTGCTACTGGTTTGCAAATGTGAGCGTGCGCGTGCTATGCTCGCGCACACCTCCACGCATGCACAGCCTTCTATGCATGCGCAGAGGATCAAAAACGGGACATGATGACATCCAGGCGGGTGTGCAGAGCCTCCCGCCACCAGCGCTACCAGATCGTGCGATCTGGATAGATCTGGCTGAATTTCACCACTGGATAAAAGGAAAAAAAAAATCTGAAACCTGTGTGAGGTAAAGCTAAAATTAGTAGATAACTTTAAAATAAATATGAAGCCTTGATAAGGCAAATAAATATGCCTTACCTGGGGCCAGATCCATGTTATAATGCAGAAGAGACTTAAAATGAATATAAAACTGAAACCTTTTTCTTTTGGTATTATTGGGTGAGGAACTGGAAAAAAGATTTGGAGCTTTGTTATTGTATATGTTAAGTGCAGAAATGGAAAGATACGTCAATCCCCACAACAGAAGAATGGATGGAAAAAGTGATGGAACTAGCAGAGATGGCAAAATTGACTATTTTAATTAGTGAAAGAATATATCCAGCTTTATTTCTACCTGGAAACTTTTTCTGCAGTTTTTGATTTGAGACAGAAAAAGATGATATCTTGACTTTGGATTTTGCTGATTAGTTTGCTGTTATAGAAAAGGCAAGTAATTATTAAGTTGGTAAAGTTGAAGCTGTAATTCTATTTTGTACTTTACTGAGCTGAAAAAAGTTGAAGACAAAAAAAATTGGAAGATAATGAATCACGTAACTTGAATGTGATCACTCCTTGCTGATGCATGAGGTATCTCAGGGTGGGGAAGGCCATGGGGGGCCTAGTGCTTCCGATCACAAATATTTGTAGATCACAAATATTTTTTATCAGTGCAAGTCTGTATTTGCATATCACAGAAGATCATCCATCTTAAATATAAATCATTGTTTCCAAAATTAGAAATTAATTTGCTCAGAGTTATCCACCCTCCCAAATTACTAGAATATTCATTATTTGGGGTGGGTTGGTAGTGGAACTGAACTGTTTGCAGGGCTTTTGCTTAGCTTGACAATTCCAATCTAAATACTGTAAATAACCAGAAGAAGGTAAAGTCAAATACTGGTTGGTTGTTATTGTTGGTGTTGGTGTGTGTGTGTGTGTGTGTGTGTGTGTGTGTGTGTGTGTGTGTACACACACACAGACAGACATATACATATACACATATGTATCTCTTATCCAAAGATCTTTATAGATTTCATCATGTAGTTACTAGAGGTTGAACTTGATTAATAGATTTTATTTTAAAAAATAATGAATCTGCAAGTCTGTAGTATTTACTTAATCTATTTCAAATTTTAACTGAAGACAGTGATTATAAATGTCACTTTTTAACTTTTAAGTACTATTAATATCAATAGTGGAAAATTCCTTAACCTCAGTCAAAAATAATGAGAGAATATTTATTTCCAGGGGGGATGAGTTCATAGAAAAAATAATTAGTTTTCATTTTCTTAATAGTGTTTAAGAGACAAACAAAAAAGTTTTGTTTTTTTAGGAGTATCATACTCTAGTGTTTAATGTTACATTTTATCGTATGAATATAGTGTGAAATACCATAGTTTAAATGATTATCCATGAAGACTAACTGAGAACATTTAACAGCAAATTCTATTAAAACCATTTTCTAGCAAGGTTCATAATGTTCTTTGTTCCTGGTATTTTAATATAAATGCCTCATAAGTTCTGATGAAATAGTCTGAAGAAACTATAAACACTTTTCTGTTCCAATAGCTTCAAGAACTCCTGCAAACAATTAAACCCAATTTTTCTCATCCACTTAGCTCATATTATACCATGTTGTTTCCTCACAAACAGGCATTTCTAGGTTTTAAATAAGTAATGCTGAATATTTTATTTAAAAAATCTTACTAATAGTAGTTATTCTTCCTTAATAAAAACATAAAGGGGAAGAGATCTCTCATACTTTGTTGCAATGCATTTTAAAGAGTAAATCTGATATAGTTAAATATAAACTATATCTTTTGGATAGCAAACTGAGGGTAACACAAATATTCAAGAGGCTAGTATTTATCGATGTGCTTTAAATACAGTAGTGACTATTCAATAGTTCTTCATATTCCATGCTACTTGCAACTGACATCATCTTTTGGTGTGTATCCATGCTTTTAAATGACACTAATTTAAACAATATTAAAAACTGGCATGCTGCAAAACATCAGTTGTTCGGAGCCAATCTGAAATGAGCAGCATGGAATAATAGCAACAGACAGATAAATGTAGGTACTTTTTAATTTTAAAAAAATTATTTGGACTCCATTAGAATTCTGGACAAGCGTTAATAAAATTAATAGCTAGCAGCATTCTAATATTTCAGGAATTGTTACATCCATTTGTAAATGGGTATTCTCTCTATATTCTCCTTTTAGTGTTTCTACTTCAAATTTCACTTGTGTCCAATGGTCTAAGATGATCAAGGACTTCCTCTTTATAAAGAATTGTATTTGCACATATCAGAAAGTTAGAATACATCAAAATTTCATCTTGTAGCAATGAATAGAATGCTGGTGAGTGCTCTAACAGTCCAGCTGGCTTTTTTAAGAAGTGGAAACACTCCCAAATGACTGTCAGCTGATCTGCAATTTATCACACTAAACTTTTTTTCAGAACCAATTTGAGCCAAATAAATTTAATATAATTTGCAATTCTTGCTCTGATAGTTTCACAGTATCTCATACAAAATAAAATATACATAAAATAAAGGCAGGATTAAAAATTTGACAATATTTTAGGGTAGTCATTTTCTTTCAGCACAACCCATCTCACAAGGTTCTTATTGAGAAAATAGTAGGAAGAACAGTTTTCTGCCTTGAGTTATTTATAAAAATAATAAACGCAGGCCATAAATACTTGCCCAATGAGTAACAATAGTAGAGATATATCTTAAAATTCTCCACATAACAAAGCATTTTACCAGCAGTCTTTGGTTAATGAGTATTCATTCAATGACTGTTTGAAATTACGACATTGCTGAAGTAATAACACACCTGATCCTCAAAGTTATGACTGTTGCAGTGCCCCTGTGGTCATATAATCAAAATCTAGGCACTTGGCAGCATGCCCAAATTTACAGTCACTGGGTATGCTTTAACTCTTCCCATCCACCTATCTTCTTCCCATTTTTGACCCTTTGTGTGCCCTACATTCTGCCACTTCTGCTGTCCTCATCGCCTTGCACTCTGCCCTAGACCCGTGCTCTACTGCCCTGATGGCCTGCACCACCACTATCCTTCACTCCTCTGCCCCTCTCATCCTACAGCCTACCTCCCCCACTGCCCTATTCCTTTGCTTCCACCAGCTGATCTCTGCCATCTTCTTCCTCCTGTTGCTGATCAGGTATGCCTAGCTTAGCCTTCCACAAGACTGCTGCTAGCTATATGAGGAATGCTGCATGGCACTTTGAGATGCCACATGTGGCTAGCAGATGCTTTGCAAAGAGCTGGGTGAACCTCAATAGTGGGAAGAAAAAGAGACCAAAGATCAGATGGTGCAGCAACAGTGGCATGGATGAAAGGTGGAGTGCAAGGTGACGTGCAGTGACGCGCAGGACAGCAGGAGTGGTGGAACATAGGGTGGCTAAAAGGGCAGAGACAGGGCGAATTAGATGGGGGGGGGAAACAGGCAAAAGGAGATTTCAAGCATGATAAGTATACAAAGTCCTCAATATGTATTGTTTTGAAAGCTGTTTCACACCATTTTAACTAATTCTATAGGCTACAAACTTGAAGAGACTGTTTTAATCTATTATTAATTAATCCGGTTAAAATTTCTCAGTTTGAAATATTTGCAAGGATTATTATGAAAAACTAAATTAACATTGCTGATCTAATTATAACACAAAGTTAAGCATTCATTAATAGGGAAAAAGAACATTCCTGCAGTTTAATCATAAGGGTAAACCTCAAAGATTATTCTTATATTTTGATGTATGATACAAATACATTGTATAATTAACAGTTCACTGCTATAAAAATATTTGCTGAGAGCTTGCCAGACTCTTAATGGCCCATCATGTCTGTGTAAGAGAAATAAAAGACTTGCAGAAACTAATGAATGCCTTAGTTTAGGAGGAAAAAAAATGCTATGGTTTCAATCCACTTTGTCAGTTGCTGCTTTGTGCGTTAGAGCAGTGACACCACCACACAAAAATTTAAGGAGTTGGCAAGAAACAGACTAAGAACTATGATGTCAGCCACTGTAATGGCCATCCATGCTTTTAAGCAGCAGCTGCGCTTAACAAAACTGTTAACCTCAAGAATGGAGTCTGAGATTCATAGTAAAGTTCGAAAAATGTAATTTTGGAACACTTAAAATCAAACGTGACTATCACCTTGACAATTATACCAATAAACAATAAATACAAATTTACAGTAGTGTCTCATCAAATTTACAGTCTGGTCCTTTCTCAGACATAAATAGACAAACCTGGCATATACAAGAGCTAAAGCCACAAACTCACTTAAATGAAAAAGCTTTGAAAACCAAAAGTTTCAAAACTATATGTAGAATTTAAATTGCATGCAATTTGAGCTGTTTACAATAGGCATGGCACTACCTTCATGGCATGAATTTCTTCTAGTAATCTTTGCGCACGTCTCTGGTTTTTCAGCACTGCATCTTTAGTACCCCTGAAAAAGAAAGGCATGTACTTCATACTGTATTAATGTGTGTACCTACATATGTGATCACAAACATTTATCCTCTATGTCCCCCACCTTTCTTAAATCATTTAGGGAAATGCTTTGCTCACAGCATTACCTTTGAAGATCTGAGAAAGCTGCAACCTTTGTCATGTGGAGTAGTGCTCTGAAAAGCCATCTAATTGGTTTCCAAAACTCTATCATTTATCAATTAACATATTATTTTACAGGCAATAAAATAAGTTATGTTTAAAACTGTAAGAATGCTTGATGTTATATACTGTGCATAACATTACAGATAATTCTTGACTTACTAGGACAAATGAGTCCAGAATTTGGGTCATTAAAAGTCACTGAGATTGTTAAACCGGTCACCATGTGATATGGCTCGATTTTACATTTTTACATGGTTGTAAATCAAGCCATTGCAGGCATTAAGCAAATCCAGAATATTCAATGGGCATTTTCAACTATTTTCAGGATGCTTCAACTGATCATAAATGTGAGCTGGTTGCCAGGAGCCTGAAATGTAATCACATAACTGCACAGGAGGGCACAGTAGTCTTAACTTCAAGGATGGTTTGTAAGTACCTTTAAATGTATTGTAAGTTGAAATGGTCATTAAGCAACTGATCATAAGACAAGGATCATCTGTATATGATTCACTGATTATATCCGATCAAATTGTTCTCTACTGTTAACAGATACATAGATTTTCCTCCATAGTGATCTGTCTCTAACCTTCAGATCTTCTTGTGGTGACTGACTAACTTCAAAAAGACCTAGCTTTTTGAAGTAAAATACTTTACACTTGATCATTTGTATTTTGAGTAAGAACTCTGGGTGATTTGTTGAACAATCCATTTGATTGTATTCTTGGCTGACTATGGCATTCTCAGGAATCTTCTCCAATACCAAACTTCAAAGGCATCAATACTCTTTCTATCTGTTTCTTCGCAATCTAATATATGCTTTTATAGAGTGTCACTTCCACAGAATATCACCAAATTCTGATCTCTGTAAGTAAAGACACATCTTGCATCTCAATATTTTTTCCAAGGTCTTCATGGCTACTCTACCAAGTGCTAGTCTGTGGTTTACTTCTTGACTGCTCGTTTATGTTACTGATGACTGATCCTAAAACTCAGAAGATATGTATCACTTTAGCAGCTTTAAAGTCAATTCTAAGGTTGGCTGTTCTACTATTATATTTATATTTTTATATTTAAGTTTAGTCCTATTTTTCCACCCTGTTTTTCAACTTTTATCAATAGAACTTGCAGAGGTTTTGTATTATTGGCTATCGCAGTAGTGTCATCAGAATAGGGCAGATTATTGGTATTTCTTTCTCTAATTTTAAAATCATGCTCGTTTTTTTTCCCAATCTTGCTTTACTTAATATATATTCAGCATATAGGTTGGATAAATAAGAGGATAATATGCAGCCTGTTCTTATTTCTTTACCAACCTGGAGTCAGTCTGTTTCACTATGTTCTATTCATACTAGGACTTTCTGGCCTATAGATAGGTTTCACCTGTGGACAATGAGATGTTCTGGAATTCCCATTTTGCTAAGGCCTGACAGCCTAACATCAACAACAGCCTAACATCATCAACATAATCAATGCCCTGTCAGGTTACTTTATTGCTATTCTTTGGCCTTTTCAATTATTCATTATACATTGGTTATAACATCCTGTGTTTCTTGTCTTCTCCAAAGCTGTTTTGAAAACCTAGTATTTCTTTTTCCATTCAGGACTTTAATCTGAGTTGGATTTTCCTCAGTGTTTATTTTACTAGCATGCAAATGACAGTGTTTGTCAGGTCTGCCCAACTCATAGAAGGGAAATGGCCAGATTGATACCTTAAAAAATAATTACGTGTCACAAAGAATAACTGGCATGCCAATCAGCTGTTTCGCAGCAGCAGAAATAGAGCTGGCAATGTCTGTGAGGCCTGGAGGTGCTCTACAGAGTAGAAGTGGTACAAAAGCTAAGGTGATGGTATGTTGGGCTGTAATGAATTGGTTACTTCAAAGAACACTGGTGGGCTGCACAAGGCTGGTTGCTGTGTGGCATGTGTCTCATGGGCAATATGTTCAGGCCTAGCATGTGTGTGTGTATATTATTCCAAAAGATGTTATTTTATGCAGGCCTAATGTTGATACATACCTTTTTACCGTGAAAAGATGTCTATAACAGTACATTTAATGATTATGTTTGGGTTCTTTTTAAAGTTATGTAATTGTTTACATGTACTTGCTTTGCTAAGTTTTAGATGCTTCTATGACTTTAAGGACCAGTCAATAGTTTTATTTACAATGTTATCAAAAATATCTCCAAATTTAATTGCAATTTTTTATATTCCTGGTCCTAATTTAGAACTCACCTGCTTGAATAGAATGTTATTTTTTCTGGAAACCTATGAATCTTTTTAACCTTGATGAGATCAATTAACTGCTAGAGATGTGCTTCTCAAAAGACAACCATATTCATATGATGTGGTGTTCTACAATAATATCTCCCTTTGAAGCAGAAGTTATTTCATGTATTAAATTTATTGTGGTTCTTGCTCGGCATGTTCTTTTGAATTACATTCCAAGTGTTTGGAAACTAGCCTACTATTCCTTAAAGATTTTCACATTGTACAATGTTTAAAATCAGAGATATGAAGTCTTTTTTTAAATAAATTTTAAAAAATACATGATTTTATGTAATGTCACTTATGGCCATTATAATTTTTTTACATGTTATGCTTTCATATAGACCACCCACCCACTCTTTGTTAAAACAAAATCCATAAAACCAATTCCCTCCAAAAGAGTAAAACCAAGTAATTCACAGAAACACTGTATTACATATACAAAAAGTCATGCAGTCCAATTTTAAAACACATCATTAATCTTTGACCACATAAAGTAATGTTGTATCCTTCCGTTATATCACAAGACTGAAGACAGATCAGAGACTGAAAGTGAACAAATTTCACCAATCCAAGATTAAAATCCTAAATATAGCAATCTTTTCTTTGCTGTTCTCCATATTTGGTAAATCAATAATTCTTCATACAATGAAATTCTTTGGTATGTAGTTCAAAATTACACTCATTTTTTAAAAATAATTCTGCTCTTTGAAATGCTGTATCAATTTATAGATATTTAACCAGTACAGAGCAAATGTGAGATATGTCCATATCATTAGTGTCTCTGTTCATTTCTTACTTCCAGCCAGGGTGGATTTGATTTAAATCATGATCTAAATCATTAGTAAAAAGGCTTGATTTAATAATAATAATAACAGTAACATAGTTGGAAGGTACCTTGGAGGTCTAGTCCAACCCCCTGCTCACGCAGGAGATCTATACTAGGGATTTGAACCACCAAACTGCCGACTTTTCTGATCGACAAGCTAAGTTTTAAAGAGCAACTGTCATCTCTGTCCCACAGTGGCTCCTCCTCTGACCTGCTGTTGACTCACCGACAGTCCCAATATTGCAGAATATATAGCCTCATGCTACATAACTAAGGTCCATTGCATGCTGAATAAACTAAATTGTTAATGTATCTTAAATAGAAAACTATCTTTAGATAGATTTTTACTCCAAATGCATTTTATTAAAATAAATTTGATAAAAATAAAAAAACCCAATTTAAAAAAATCCGTTTTAAATTTTAAAAATCTGTTTTTTTTAAAAAAAAATCATCAATTTTTATCCACCCTGTTTCCAGCATATTGAGACTGACTGATAGCCAATTCTTTTCAACAACAAAAAATCAAAATACCACAATATTTGACAACTGCTACATTTAATCTAAATTTCATTAAAGATAAACCCATCCAAATAGGAAGGAGAAAGATATGACTATAAAACTATTACAAAATAGGGTTTCAGGTATTATAATTTATATTTTAAAAGCATTCAAAATATGAGGACATGTTTGCCTTGAATTAGCCTTCTTCCACCAAATATAGCAGCTTACATGATCAGAAATCAGACAAAATTATATTTGGCCCATTTATTCTACACAAAAGTTAAAGAAGTATAAAAAAGAGTTAAACTTACTTTTTTGCCTTCAGTTTAGCAATATGCCTAGTTAGTTTCCGAATTGTTAAAACTCTGATTTTCTTCACTTCTTTTCTCATCTTGACAACCTATGAATGAGAAGGGGAGGAAGAGATGTATTCTCATCAATATACTTTATTCTAAAATACTAGTTTATCACTCCTTAACTTACCAAAATTTTCAGATAATGTTCTCATTGAAGTCAAAAAGTTTCTCCAAAATTGTCAGACAATTAAGGAATACAGGTAGACCTAACTTAACGACGATAATTGGGAACGAAATTTTCATTACTAAGTAATGCAGTTGTAAAGCAATGTTACATGACTGCATCGCTTAACAATGGCAATCCCAGCAGAATTTGGCATGGAAAAATGGGTCATTTTTTAACATTTTTTTTACACATTACATTTCATAATTTTCTAATGGATGTAATTGTTTCCAAAGGTATTAGAGTTTCAGTAGTTAGATCTTGTCCATCCAACAAGTTACTATATATGTATATTACAAAGTTGCCTGAATCAGTATTTAATACTTCATAATAGTATTATCAAGTAAGATAATAGGTAAGCATGATAATATAAGTCCAGATATGAAAAACCAAAATCATCCCGCATTAATTGGTAATTATATTTTCTATAAAGATATTCTTGGAATCAAAGGGTACCACAGAAATTTTCTAAACAAAGGATATGTTTTCTGAAAATATTTTCCATGTATATAAATTTGAATTTCCTCAGAATATAGATTAATCTCTTATTTTGAGAGCATTCATCTTTCCCCAAATTTTAATGAGGAGTTTAATGACTCCCATCTATCAATATCTGAAGAAATTTTTTTATTAACTGTTACTGAATTATATCATTTGGTACACATATACCTAAATACATACCTAGATACAGTTGCAAGAAAAAGTATGTGAACCCCTCGGGATTATGTGGAGTTTTGCATGAATTGGTCATAAAATGTGCTCTGAACTTCATCTAAGTCACAACAATAGAAAAACACAGTCTGCTTAAAATAATACTACACAAACATTAGATGTTGCCATGGTTTAATGGAACATAACATGTAAACATTCACAGTGCAGGGAGGAAAAAGTATGTAAACCTTTGGATTTAATAACTGGTTGACCCTCCTTTGGCAGCAATAACCTCAACCAAACGTTTCCTGTAGTTGCAGATCAGACCTGCACAACGATCTGTAGTAATTTTGGACCACTCCTCTTCACAAAACTGTTTCAGTGTAGCAATATTCTTGGGATGTCTGGTGTGAATCGCTCTCTTAAGGTCATGCCACAGCATTTCAATCGGGTTGAGGTCAGGACTCTGACTGGGCCACTCCAGAAGACGTATTCTGTGCTGTTGAAGCCATTTGTTTGTTGAATTACTTGTATGCTTTGGGTCATTGTCCTGTTGCATCACCCATCCTCTGCGGAGCTTCAGTTGGCGGACAAATGGTCGTACGTTTTCCTGCAAAATGTCTTGATAAACTCTGGAATTCATTTTCCCATCAATGACAACAATCCGTCCAGGCCCTGAGGCAGCAAAGCAGCCCCAAACCATGATGCTCCCTCCGCCATGTTTTACAGTGGGGATGAGGTTTTAATGTTGGTGTGCTGTGCCTTTTTTTCTCCACACATAGTGTTGTGTGTTCTTCCCAAACAACTCAATTTTGGTTTCATCTGTCCACAGTATATTTTGCCAGTAGTGCTGTGGAACATCCAGGTGCTCTTTTGCAAACTTCAAACATGCTGCAATGTTTTTTTTGGACAGCAATGGCTTCCTCCGTGGTGTCCTCCCATGTACTCCATTCTTGTTTAATGTTTTCCTTACTGTAGATGTGTCAACAAAAATGTTAACACGTGCCAGAGATTTCTGTAGGTCTTTAGCTGACACTCTAGAATTCTTCTTTACCTCATGAAGCATTCTGCGCTGTGCTCTTGAAGTCATTTTTACAGGACGACCACGCCTAGGGAGAGTAGCAACAGTGCTAAACTTTCTCCATTTGTAGACAGTCTGTCTTACCGTGGACACATGAACATCAAGGCTTTTGGAGATACTTTTGTAACCCTTTCCAGCTTCATGCAAGTCAACAATTCTTGATCGTAGGTCTTCTGAGAGCTCTTTTCTGCGAGGCATGGTTCACATCAGACAGTGCTTCTTGAAACCAATAAACCCAAAACAGGTGTGTGTTTTTAAAGGGCAGGACAGCTGTTAGCAACACGTCCAATATCATCACACTGATTGGAGTCAAGATTGGCTCACTCCTGGCTCCAATTAGCTCTTGGAGAAGTCATTAGACTAGGGGCTCATATGCTTTTTCCTCCCTGCACTGTGAATGTTTACATGTTATGTTCAATTAAACCATGGCAACATCTAATGTTTGTGTAGTATTATTTTAAGCAGACTGTGTTTTTCTATTGTTGTGACTTAGATGAAGTTCAGAGCACATTTTATGACCAATTCATGCAAAACTCCACGTAATCCCAAGGGGTTCACATACTTTTTCTTGCAACTGTATGTAATAGATCCAGTACAAATACAAATTAATATTCCTTAAATGAATGGGTAACCCAATTTTTATCTATTGGTATCAATTTTGATTTGGACCAACTAAGAGACTATCCTGCTATTTTGCTAAATCATCTATCTTTTTCATCAAAACTAAGCGGCATTACTTTAACTTCTATCCTTGATAACCAAACTTTTGAAGGAGTCCCCCATATATAATGGATATAAAAAAAATTGAACTATCATTAGCAAGGGAATGCATAGCTGATATCTGTTAAGTATACTTTTAGAAAAGAGAAGGTAAACTTTTTTAATTTGAAGATGTATGAGTCTATTGAGCCAGCCATCTTGAGCAAGCCAGTAAAGGCTCTACGCCAAACATCTGTGAAATGCCACTCCAAAAATAAGCATTCTTAGCCACGCTCAAGAAAATTCACAATTATACAATTGCAGCAATTGAAAAAGCACTAAATTGAGAGGACTCCTATATTTCAGGTACCAGCCTGGAAATGCTGTATTTTAGGGGCATGAATTGTATTCCTCATGCTGTTCAGTTTTCAAAAGTTGAATTAAATATAGGGAAATGGCACTTCAAGTAAAATTTGATTTTAAAGAGGAAATAAAAATTATAAAAATTCTTAAGAAGTTAACTGCCTGGTAGAAAGGTAGCTTACATCTTCAAAACCATAAGCCATAAATAGGAAATTAGTCCAAGGTGACTATTTCACATTAACCAATACTTTCTTAATATAAACAGAAAGCACTCTTTTTAAAGAAATCCTCTTACAGAGTGCACATTTAAATAAATTATCCCTGCAATAGTAAATACTTGCCTTTAAATATTATTCATGATTATGTTTAAGGAAATACGTTCAAACCCACATAACTTCAATAAATAATCATGTAAAAAGGAAAAATATTTTATTTAGAAGCTTACTTGGCTATTTTAGGTATGGATATGAAAAGTGGAGTTTATTTATAAAAAGTATCTATGATAAATTAAATTGGGGTTCTCATTACAAGTTTTTGGCTAGGCTTTAAAAGCCTTCCATCAAGTATTCCGGTCAACAAGGTTCACCTCCTACCAAGTTTTCTATCATATTTTGCCCACTCACCCATGTTTCTCATCATGCATTAAAACAACCTGGTGCTTCAACTTTTTTAAAGCCAGACTTAGCCAAATGTCTCCTGACATTGAATTTTGGCATGTAATCAACAGTTAAACAAGTACAGCTCTTATGCTCACAGAATGTCCATGGCATGAATAGCTGTACCAACTGAATTTCTGCCTAGCATGTAGCTTTTTAAAGACTCAAAGTCACCGTGAATAAAATTTCAAAAACTTACATCTAGAGGAAAGAAGTACATCAACTATATTGCACAGATGTTTTAGCTGATATGAGTGAAAAGCTCACAAACTATAATAAGTAAAAGTAACAACAACCTGGCATATACAAAAACCTACAATTTAAAGAACAACAGCAGATCATTATGCACTAAAACATATATATTTAACTTTCTATCCAATATTTACTCCTTTCTAGAGCACTATGTAGAGGAAGAGTATATTTTTAGTAACTAATTCAACCAAGAGCAAATTCAGACTGTTGATCACGAGCTTAAAAATGCCAGCCTAGAGGAATCCAAAGGGCTATTTAGTCTCACACTCTCTTCCCGCTTTGATCAAGCAAGTCACTAAAGCAACAGCACCTTCTTGGTCATGTTCTACACCATCTAATATTCACAGACATTCTGTCTCTAATTACAAAGAGAAGAAGAGAACAATCACCAGCATGTTGGATAGATTCAATTACAGTGACAAAGGATGCAAAACTAGAAGATCTCAAGACCAGGTTGGAGACAGACCACACACCTTTGTGATTTGCAAGTTTTACACATGATGACACATAATCAATCAATTATAGGTATAGCAGCATAGGAATTGTCACTATGACATAGCCATAAATCACCTTTTACTCTGTCTATTTTTCAAATTCTTTTTCTAATTCAGTCTGGTGATTTCCATGTATTACATATAACCACTATATTTCAAATTCAAATTCCTCTTATAAAATTTTCTTACTCAGACAAAAATACATTCTATAAAACTTAAAAAATTTAGTTTCTTGAGAATCAAATATACTTTCCAGTTTCCTCTTGCACACACACTAGAACGACAAGTATTTAATAATTACACTCAGAGCAACCCTACTACATTTTTTCAAATATGTAGGAATTAGATTGAGTTGAATGTCCCTAGGACATTCAACTCAATCTAATAACCTGCAAGAAAATTTAAGGCAAAATAAAAAGGACAGTGGAATATTAACAGAATATATTAAAAATATTTAAAAAGTTGTGAAATTATAAAATATATATAAAAAATTATATTAAAAAAAGCCTCTCTGAATCACATCCAAATTTTATACATTGTAAAGACCTTGTATGGGGTGGCAAATATTGGAAAGAAATATTGCATTAGAATAAAATGTTATGTTTGGCTGCATTAGGGGCTTGTTTTTAAGTTGAACAGAGAAAAGACATCCAATTTAAGCTAACCCACAGCCAAAAATTTAAGA